ATCTGAGTTCATCTTGTGTTTTCCCTTGGATACACACCATAATAAATATTCAGGAGTAATCTAGACCTAGTTGTCCAGGACATGTGCAGTTTAGATGCTCAGCCATGTGCTATTTTTTGTTTTTCTTGCTTGATATAATTCAACTTCAGCAAAAAATGTAAATCTTTAAAGTCTGTTTGACGGGCTGTTTGGAGCAAGGCCTCACAAGCTGCAGAGATAAAGATCAATGAGGGTAGGTCTCTGAACGTTGGCAGAAGAAAACTGATCGCATCTGTTAAAAATCAGTATCAGTTAAAAAGTACGATGTATTAAGACTTCTTTCACAGCTTTTCCTGACAGGGAAACTGAAGTTAGAGTCTTAGTACTGAGTCAGAGCCTCCATGCTAAAGAAAACTGTCGTTTGACCTCGCAGAACACGGCAGGTTCTCTCCGTGTCTCTTACTGACCCGGAATCAGCACTTTAGTAACAGGCTGAAATAGAGGGGGATGAGGCTAGAATGCATGATCTGTTTGGTCTTTTGAGCAAAACACTTCATAGACATGTTTTTATATATATTTGTATAATAATATATGCCTAAAAACTGTATAATAGGAGACCTTTAAGACCTCCTACTTACTTACGCTGCTTCCCAAGTAAAACTAAGTCAAAACAATCACCCGGAAAGCACCAGCACATTACCCCGGGCGTGTGTCTCACCTTCTCCCTGATGGCTTCGGGGGAGGTCCACTTGACGGGCAGCTTTCCGGTGTCCTGGATGGACGACGCCTCCTTGGTGAGGCCGAAGTCGCTGACTTTAGCGATGTTGTCGTCAGAAACCAGAACGTTTCGAGCCGCCAGGTCTCTGTGCACGAAGTTGTTGTTCTCCAGATACTCCATGGCCTCACACACATCACTGAAGAGACAGAGGGGAGGGGGGGGAAGATTATAAGAGTTAGAAAACTCTCCCTGGTCCCCGGTTTGAGCTTCAATCTCAGGATCCATGTATCTGTGATCCTCTCCAGAATGGAAGTAGTCATCACATACAGAGCATCAACTAGTTCCTGAACAGTGTCCTTCACATGCTGATATCCAAGAGAGGGAGTTACACAGTCACAAGATGGAGGAATACCGGGTCTTCTAGGTAATCATACTTCCTGTCATGAACAAAATACTGACTTTTTACTCAAAATGTTGGGTTTTTTTCTTCTCAAAAGACTTTATTTCTTTCAAAATTCTTGCTTTCCACCCAAAATCCTGATTTTTTTCTCCAAATCTTTAAATTATTTCAAAGAAAATCGTAAAATTCGGACTTTTCTCAAAAGTCTGCCTTTTTCTGAATACATCCACGGCGTGAGCTTGAATCTCAGGATCCATGTATTTATCATCCTCTCATATCAAAATGAGCCTCATGAACTGAGTTTTAAACATCAGCATATCCGGTCACTACCTGCTAACCGAAACTCTGCTTAACAATTCTTCTTCTTATTATTATTGGAACATGACCGGTAAGTTTCGAATTTGTCCAATTATTTCCGGACACTTGACCGGCAAGAAAAAACCCTAGCGGAAGCCCTGATGTGTTTATAGAAAATGCACAAACAATTATTTTATTTAAATGTGTTAATTTGAATAACTTGATGCACTACTGTTAACCTATAATAATATATGATAATGTGTGTCGATTTATATTTTGTAATATCATAAATATGCAAAGTAACTTGATGTGTAAAATAAATGTTGTGGGGTAAAAGTATAAAGTGAAAATACTCAGGTACAAGTACCTCCATTGTTTACTTAGTTAGCTCAAGGAGAATAAGAAACAGGCTGAATATGAATCTCTTTATCCTCTCCTTGCTTCAGGGTGCAAATCCAACCCCTTGCTCATCTCTAATGCTCATTCGAGATGAACACACTGGAAGTGAATCATGAAGTATTTCCTTTTCTGCCTGCATGACCCGAGTGTTTCCACTTATGAACCGGCTGCTGAGTTACAGCGTGTAGAAATCAAGACTTTAAAAGCATCCATTTAGAGTTCAGCTGTAAACAAAGCTCTCTTTCATTCTGGCTCTGAGCAGCAGATCCATGTGACTCATGTTTGTCTTTTCTGAAAATGTAATCGTCTCGTTGGCAGCGATGTGAGTATGATAGAAATGTACAGTATAGATCCACAGCACATAGAAACTGCAGGAAGCTAACCTGCATATGTTGCACAATCAGCATTAGATGTGTTAATAAGCATTGAATATCAAAGAGTGGTTTTGGGGATGCTGGATCCTTTTCTGTCATTTTCAGGATCAAAAATGTCAGTTTTAACCATATCTGTACTCTCTGTCGGTGGATATAGAGAGCACAAGATGAACATTATTACCTCTAATGTGGACAATTCTTTATTAACACTATAAATAAGCAATGTGTCCAATTCAAATGAGTCGACTAAATCTTCAAAAGCGACCCAAAATGCATCGAAATCCGCCCAGAGAGAGTAAAACTATTGTCCACATACTGCAGTGTATAATGCTAATCAACTAGACTTGTGCTAATTGTGCACATTCCCCAAAGTACGCACGTTAGCATCCGGTAGTTTCTATGAGCTGGAGACCCTTAGTACACATTTATAACACAAAACTTTGCAGTACTCAACATTCACAACGCGACTAGATAATAATGATACAGATTTGTATAGCTCTTTCCCTAATGCTCAAAGACGCAGTACAAAGAAAACTAAAAACATAAACAGCAGTCTGAGTTTGAGAGCTAGAGTGAAATGAGTCTGTCTGTAATAAGAAGATGAAGAGCGATGATGATGATGATGATGATGAAGACTCACAGAGAGAACTTGAGTAAGCAGTCTCCCCCGAGCACGGTCCTTCCTCTGGAGCGCAGGTAGTCCACTAAACTGCCCTGTGGGGAACAAACAGGTGACACAACGATCAACAAACATTCATACGAGGAAAGGTCCGTTTCTTGGCAAACATCCCC